AAACTGCGGCACCGAGAGGCCCGAACACGGGGGCCCCCAAAAGGCACGTGGAAGTAAAAAAACAAGACCAAAAAACCAGGAGCCTGCACACGACGCTGCGTACACACAGGCACGTATATTATATTATAAAGAAAAAAAAAAAAAAAAAAAAACAGAGATGGCAAAGAATGTGCGTTAAACGCATTTTTTCCCCCTCCAAAGGCTCCTTCACTCCGCGCCAATGTCCCTCCTCTCATGCACTCACTCTCTTTCCTCGTCATTATTATTATTATTATTTTTATTTCTTTCCCGCTCTGCACCACCATTTGACTTCTTTTTTGTCTGTTTGTTTGTTTTTGCGCCCCCTGCGGGTCTTTCGGCGATGTTCACACACTCTTTACCTCCGCAAGCCCTCCATGGCGTGTCGATGTGCCATCGGAGCATTCGCCCACAATATGTGGCGCTCCTCCGCCCCACCCCATGCAAATGGAGGGTATAAAAGAAAGAAGAAAAAACGAATTGGAGAAAAAGTTTGGCAGAAACGCAGAAAAAAAAAAAAAAAGAAAAAAAGTGGAAACAATGGCGGCAGAATAAATTTATGTTTACATCCGATATGATAATATAACAAGAATGCATGCATAATCGATTCATACATGCAGATGTATACATATACATATATATATATATATACTGTTATACATATGGGGGGCTTGTGTCTGTGGTCAAAGTAACAACAGGGTCAAGGAAGAAAAGAAGACGAGTCCACAAGAATTTAGCCAACATTGCAAGTGTGTGGATGTGACGCTCGTTGAAACACACACACACACACACAGAGAGAGAGAGAGAGACAGACAGGGGAAAAAGAAAAAAAAAAAAAAAAGACATGCATACATTCCAGTAAAGACAGTGTGTATTACACTGGGAGTGGGGGAGGGTGGCCCGAAAGCGGTACGGGTTCACATCACCCCGCATAAATCCACCAACCAACCAACCACCCCCTTCTGCCTGTAGACTCACAAATAAAAATATTCTACAAGTACATGCACATCACATAATTTAACTCCTTCATGGGACCGTCGGGGGGAAAAAAAAAAAAAAAAAGTTCCACCTCAAAGACTGAACGCATTCGTCCCGCTATTCCCGTCGCCTCCTCCTCCTACCAACGCACACACGCACACACGCAGAGAGAAAGAAAAAAAAACACAAACTTTTCGTTGGATTATTCCTTCCCAAGTGAATAACCCTGCGACTCCCCACTCACGGTGGTGCGGCACCGAAAAGAAAGAAAACAAAATCAAAGAAAGTAATAATCATTAAAACAGTAATTTATTAACGGTACTAAAAAAAAAAAAAAAAAAAAGTGTTCTTCATTCCACTGAAAAATAGTAATGACGAACAGACAGAAGGCCAATGAGAGTGAGAGACACACACACACACAGGGAGAGAGAGAGAGAGAGAAAGGGAAAGAGACATGCCACTCTGCGCAAACATAAACACAAACATGTATAAGTGTAAATATATAAATAAATAGATATATAGATAGATAGACAGATAGACAGATACATGCATACATCAATGTATTAAATTATATACAACCACAAAAATGGAATAATAATCCAGAAACAAAAAAGGCATGTGAGTCATCTCACAACCCTTCCGTTCCCATCGCATACATATTTATTACATCACACACAGTCACACAGGCAAAAAAAAAAAAAAAGGACTACGAGGACTCTTTAGCTAACGATGATAAAAAAAAATCAACAAAAAGACTTCTTTGTTTCGTTCTTTCTCTCTTTCTCGTTCTCTCAATAAATCCCTCCACCCACACACCCCACAGTCACCATTGCGCATCCATAAAAAACAATAATAATAATAATAACTGGTGATAATAATAAATACATAACAAAGAGAAAGAAAAAGGGACAAACATACATGTACAAATCCATACATATATATACACAGACATATATATGAATATATATTTATATATTTACGTTTATATAGTGTGACGTATTTACATGCATGTCAAATGCACGCGGAGGAGCCAGCGGGTCGCACTTTGAATGCGCACGGAGGGGGGGGGAAGTATCAGAGAAGATTGAAAGTCAAAGGCATCAGGACACACACACATAAAAAAAAAACATGAAAGAAGAAAAAGATATATATGTGCGTATTATTTTCCCAACCAAACATCCCCAGGGAAAAAGGGTGATAAAATTTCAAAAATGAGTTCCTTCTTCTACGCACCCGCAACACTACCCCGTTCCTTCAATCCCTCAACATTATCTGGTTCAAACGGTTCTTACAGACTCCCAATAGGCCTACCTGATCGCATGCTCCAATTCAAGTGTCTACATGAGAGTAAACAACACCTGTGGCAGGAGATAATCCGTCACTGAATTCACCGGAAGCGCCGACTGCTGCTGGGACCCTGAAGTCGAATTTTGTTGTTGGGTACCGCGATGGTGAAGTTGTTCGTAGAATGAATTAGAGGATTGAAACTGCGTCGCTGAAATTTGTACTGTCGTACTGCTCATATATGGCGTCTGCTGCGAAGTGTACACGGAAGAAAACGGGTACCCCGCCTGCTGCGTCATAATCTGAGGAGGATGCTGCTGCTGCTGCTGTTTCTGCGCCTGCTGTAGGTGTAAATGCGGCGGCTGCGCTGGTGACGGTGCTTGGGACGAAAGCATGGATGGAGGTGACATGATAACCCCACCGGTTGCATGTTGAACACCCCGAGCGTCAAAGGGGAAACCAGTTGCTTGCCGAGTGTAACCGTGCATGCTGTTGGTTGAGCAATTAGCACTGGGCAAAAAACGTGGTTGAGTGCCGGTATGACTCGGACGCAGGTTAATAACATTGAGGTCCGCTGTTTGGTTGTAGGTAAAAGGTGCGGTCATCGCTGTTGCAGTTGTTTCTGTGGATGACAACGATGGTGGCATTGATGACTGCGCTGACGGCTTCAAATAAACGCGGTGAATAAAATGGCATATCCTTCCCCTCCCACATTTCTCACGCTCGTAGTGTTTGCATAATCGAAGCAGCCTGGTTGAGCCATGCAACAGTGCTTCTTCACTCCCCCTTGTCTTATAGACATAATCAGAGGCTAATCGTAATCTGGCCGGGGCATCGCCGGTGAATTGGGAGGAGGTCCCACTGAGGTTGCTTTGATTGATATGAAAGACGGATCCAGGTTCATGTCTTTCGTAAAGGGCTTCAGCCATGGAGTGAATGGGAGTCGACCAGTGCACTTGAATGGCTTTCACCGGCCCACCACGATGGGGAGCATTCGTCAAGACATGACGACTGTGAATAAAGTCACAGAAGGAACCGTGGGCGCAGGTGGAATTGCTAGTGTACATCTTGCACAGGTAGAATGCAAAGGTGGGAGCCCCTTTGCCCTGGTTCTTCGCCAGGTATCGCCTCGACCCGGCCGTGGGCTCGATAAGTTCCGGTGGGATGGAGAGCGTCTCCGCCTTGTCCGCGCTAAGCACATTGAAGTGGTCCCCAGGCAGGCCACTCGTGTTTCGGCTCTCCGGTCGCCTAACGCCCTCCTTTTTGCCCTCCTGCAGCACCGCAGCGATCGTGGCGTTATTTCGGTTGGAGGTAGAAGAGTTCGACGAGGCCAACTTCTCCGCGTACATGTCAGCGTCCCCCTCAAACAAACTCACCGATGCCTCCATCAGCGTCTCCTCCTCTCACAGACAACCGCTGCTGCACCTGCAGAAAGTGTGGCAACACCGGACAATGAACCCGCAAGTAAGAAAGAAATAGACAAACACACACACACACACACACTGAGAGACAAAATCTGAAAGAAAATGGTACGGAGAGTGTGTGTGTGTATGTGCGGGTTAGGGAACCAAGCCACAAAAAGAGGAAAGAAAAAAAAAAAGAGAGAGAGACAGATATATAGCTATACAACGTTGTGTGTTATCTATCTATACAGATGTGGATAGATAAGGATAATTAAAAGTATGGGAGCTTGCCGGCTGAAGTAGCGGTAAGAAAAAAAAAAAAAAAAAAACAGTGAACTTATTTGCTTCACTGTCCCTTGCCTGCACAGAAAAGAAGAGGAAACAAATTGTATACAAATAAGATCACTGTGAATCGTGTGTGGCACACACTCACGCCCTGTCGGCCTCTTTCCCGCGCTTCTACGTGTCTGTGTATTTGTGTCTGTTTCTTTGCGTAGGGTCGACCACCAAAGAAGTCGCACTGCGGGGCGGGTGAAAGAGACGGAAAGAAAAAAAAGAAAAAAAAAAACTAAATTCCTTTTTTTTCTTTTCTCTCTCTCTCTTCTTCGTCTGTCTTTTTGTTGTTGTTTTATTGGTGTTGTTTCGCTCTTGATTGCTGGTCGGTCCAATCCTTTCCTTCCTAGTCCCTGCACACGCAGACACATGCATACATGAAGGGAAGAGGGGAAAAAAAAAAAAAAAAGGAATGTGAGCAATGAACACAACATCATGCACAGTGAACCGCAATGACTTCCTCCCCACCTTTTCTCCTCCAATAAAAAAAAAAAAAAAAAAATTATTTTCTTTTTTTTTTTTTGTTTTCCCTTTTGTTCTTCACTCATGCCTCAGTCATTCCTCTCCCTCTGGCTGTCTGCGTGTCATCTCCTCCTTTCCTCGGCTTACTGCTTGCCCCACACAGTGCGTCCGCCTCGAAGGAAAAGTTTTATTGCACCGGAAAAAAAAAAAAAAGGGGGGAAAAAAAACCTCGTTTTTGAGACGCTTCAATTGCCATTTAATCCCGTGTGCATATATAACTGCACCTCCCTCCGTCGGCATCTAAGTCTCCACGCACAAACTCATGCTTGTTGGTTTCCGTTTCCCCCCCGCTTCTGCTCCTCCTCCTCGCCGGTACAACCACCACAACAACAACAGCAACAGTCTTCGATTATTGACACTTCTCCTGTCAACGTGCTTTCGTTCATGGCCACCACGCAAAAGTATTCGGGTCGCATACGCAAGACACACCAACAGAGCGGGAAACAGCAACAATAAATTATACATATATATATATATATATGATATGATATGATGTATCTATGTCCCTGGCTCAGCCGGCCACCTCAACGTGGTGCCAGGGTCTAGCACCCTCTTGCTAGAGAGGAAGCCAAGCGCCTGCTGTTCATGCTTCAAACCCGATGAGTACTTGTCTACTTAGTTTTACGGGCCGGAAGGGCACCAGATGTTGGAGCCATTCTATAGTGGCTACCCGCGGAGTAAGGTTATCCTTGCCACTGAATTCCTTCGTACGCTTACCAGAGCTGCACAACTGAGGTGTAGTTACTACGACTGGAAAGATAAGAAAAAATATATATATATATAATATATATAATGTATCTATGCATAAAGGTAGGGGAAAGAAAAAGACGACCATCAATTAGTGGAAATGCACAAATAAAAATAATTTGAAACACACACATATATATATATATAGATAGATAGATAGATAGATATTATTTTATTTTATATTACATACAAAAACAAAAAAAAGGTGGTGTGGAGGATTAAATTCACCGAGTCCACAGAATTGCTGCGTGCACCACCTCCACGCTGAATAAGGAAAAAATCTTATAAATTGAAAAAAGTATAAACATATTCATATATGCACATGCATACGAAAATACATATGGGGAAAGGAAAGGAAAGGGAAGAAGAAACAAAAAAAAAAAAAAAAGTATTTCTAGCGCAAACTGCCACCTGCTCCTCCCTCCGCAAGGGACAACTCGAGGAATAGAGTATAAAACCCTCCTTTTTTCCCCTTTCTCCCCACACACAAACACTGATATTACTGGTTAAGAGTTGTACACAACGATGGCGCCAAGGGATACGGCATTTCCAACCAAAAATGTTGCGCTCGGACAAAACGCGTACAAATAAGAGGAGCACAAACCACTCAACGCAATGGAGATCACCGCTGCAAATGTTCTCACAATATTGTCGGAGTATTTGATCACCACCGCCACCAGAAGTCCGCCAATCGCCTGCACCACTAACATCACCCAAACTAACCCGTCAAAGCCAAGAAAGTAAGTGCGAACGGCGTCAATAAAAGACGCATTACGGGACTCCGTGAAGCCGCCCACAGAACCGTTCAGTGCCTGAAACACGGCAAAGCATAAGACCGAGTGAAGGGCTAGGTGCAAATTTTTAGTGGAGGTAAACAAACTCATCGAACTAGACCGGGACTTTAAAAAGGACTCCATAATAACAGATGCGGCGCTGGATGTTGCCGCAGAGAATATCGTGGCAACGATGCCAACGGTGTAATCCCCCTTAAAACTCCCCTCTGGCGACCGCTCTGCCCCTGAGGCGGTCCTGTCCCCAAGCTGCGCCACAGAGACGCCGAGTGCCAACACGACAAGAGCCACCCACTGCCGAAATAAAAAACAACGCCCGAGGAAAACTGACATAAAGACCGCCGTGATGATTATTCTCGACTGGTACGTCACCTGAAAGAGCGTCGGCTCAATGTTGGCAAGGGCCAAATAAACGCAGCAGTTCTGGAACCCGTAGAGCAGAGCCGGCAGCAGCATGCGGAAGGCACTTGGGTGAAACAACTCGGAGACAATTCCATTCTTAAACAAACGCCACTGTCCCGGAGTCTTTGATGCGGAGAGTTGAAACGATGCGTCCAGCAAATTGTCTTTACAGTTTATTTCCTCACTGTTGTTTAAATGAGACGAGCTGATTACATCGCTGCCAGTGTTGACTTTTACCGGCAGCGGCTGCATTTCGTCGAGCCCATCCAAAATCAATTCCTTTTCGTTCCTTTCAGTCGCGTGTTCTCGGACGTAGCGCCACACGTCAATGACGCACCAGGCAAAGGACGCAATGAACTTTATAGCCTCCTGAATCAACACTGCGTGCATCACGGCAAACCGCTCAACGCCAGCAGCCAACTGGCGTTCCTGAGTGTAACTAATGAGCAGCACCGCTATCGCATTCTGGAACGTCAGAAACCAAAAGAAAAAAAGCTGTTTTGACCAGCACGACACAACCCGCCTACAAAACCCAAAGAGGTAAATCCGCATACCAACCCCTCCACCACCAACCCTTCCTTCTCACAATCTGTCGCAGGGGCAAAAAAGGTGTATGTATTTATAATATTGCTTCCGCGTGTGTGCCTCCCTGCCCTGTCCCCAATTATCTCAAAGGATTTCGTCGCCTTTACGTGGAGATGGTGTCTCAAACGCAAAAACCTTCTCCAAGAGAGACGTACCCCCCTCCTCTTCGCCGATACCTGCAGGAAGAGAAGACTCACTCAAGAACACTTTTACTAATACGACTTGCCGTCTTCGTGGCTTACGGCGGGGTGGAGAAACGACACCGCGGCAATATTTTATCGCTGAAGACCCAAACAGACACAATTTCATGCCACAAATATATTTAAAAAAAAAAAAAAGGAAAAGGGGGAAAAAAGAGAATACGAGAAGAGAGAAAGAAAAAAGCGCAGCGAGTGCCCGTCGCCTCAGCCGAGAGCACATCCAACCTCGATCCAAACGCAAACATACACACACGGGGAAAGAAGAAAAAAAAAAAGAAATATATATGCACACAGGTCAACTAAAAACCAAAGGCCCGCCTTTCCTCGTCCACATCAATGGCATTGTGCCGTCGCTTGACCTTGAAGGGAATTTCCAGTGTATCGCAAAACAGACTTATTTTACGCACTGCAAAACGACTCATAATAACAATGGACACGCCACGGCCTCCAAACCTTCCCACACGCCCGCACCAATGCGCGTAATCCAGGGCAGATTGCGGGGTTGCCAAAATCATGACATGAGTGAGGTCGCCGATATCAATACCGCGCACACAAGAGGAAGCACAAAGAATAAACTGTCGAATATATATTGACTCTGCAGGAGATAAGTGGGAGTTGTGAGTTGTAAGTGAATTCGCATGTGTTCCTCCTTCTCTCCCCTCCCGCTGTTTACAAGACCCTTGCTGGGTGCCAATCTGCTCAACCTTGAATCGCTCATCGGGCTGGGCAGGTCTCAAAACCCGTTGGACGAAGAGGTCAACATTTCCGGAGTCCGGTAAAATCACCAGGATCTTCATCTTCCCTGTCGGTTCCGCGTTGCCCTCCATGCCGTGCCCGGATTCCTTTATGGCGGCCGCCAAGCACTCCCGCTGCTCCTCAAGGGTATCTGCGGTGTAGAAAAGATGTTGAATCCCATCAGGGACAATCGCCTTTGAGAGATTCCCTGTCGCCTTTGCCTTCTGAGAAAAGCTTTCAATCTCGCTCTCAAAAATGCGAGACGTTTTGGACTCAAGAACGCTCTTCTTTAAAAATCGCCGCACGTGGTTGACGGTAGACCCTGCAAGAGTCGCGCTCGTAAACACCAGCTGCACCGGCGCCTGGTACTTGACAAAGCGGTAGAGCTCCTTCATCAGCAGATTCCCCGCCGCGTCAGGGCGGGTTGACGGAAGCACCTCGTCCACCTCGTCCACCACCACAAGATCAATGCTCGGCAACACCGGAGTGAGGGCGAAGGAGTGTTTCTTGCGTCCCAACGTCGCCTCACGGGAAAGAATGGACTGCTTTCGTCGCTGAAAAAACTCCCAGAAAACCTCCGGTGTCGCAACGCACACGTACGGCCGCCGGTCCGCCGACCCCACAATTTTTCCTGCCGCGTCGCGGATGAATTCCCGCGTGAGACGCTGGTACACCACATTGGAGGGCAAATCGCTGGTAGCAGAAAACACTAAACGTTCATCGGACTCATACCACCACATCTCGCGCATCCACTGCGCAATCTGACGGCACAGGTGATCATTCTGCGCAAGGAAAAGAGCAGAGAAAAGTTTCATCGGCCCATCCCGCATCAGACGAGCAATAAGAGCCAAACAAAGAGCAAATGTCTTTCCAGTTCCCGTTGGGGCACAGAGCGCCACATCCTGTTGAGCATAAAAGTGTTGAAGTGCGCGTGCCTGAACCATTGTCAATCCCTGAAACCCACCCGCATCGTCATCTCTTTTCATAGAGGCACCACTCGGAGACTTCTCATGCGAGAAGCGTCGATGTAAATACTGCACTAGATGCGGTGGAAGTCCCATTCGTTCCGGATCCAGCTTTGCGACTGGCTTCTGTGAAAGCTCCTGTAACGAACTGGTTTGCAGGGCCTCTTCATCAATGACAATGTCAGAGAGAGAGGTAACACCGCGCAGCGGCTCTGGCCGCCTCGCTGTGAAGACCAAAGGCCTGCAATCAGAGGAGCGGATTTCCGTAAAATCCTTTGGAACTTCCCGAAATCGCCGCGGCAGCCGCTTTTCTTGACGCCACATTAAATAGAAACATCGCCTCATTCGTCACCCGCAATACAAAAACACGCAACCACCGCGTGTACACAGAAAAAATTGTTGGCCTTTCCTTTTTTGTTGTTGTTTTGTGTGTGTATTCGTGCTCCCTTTTCTTTGTGTACCGTCTGGCAGAGTGCCAAGGAGACAGTCACAAGTAAAAAACAAAAAAAAAAAAGCGAAAAACCAACAATAAATCCTGGTTGAGATGCATAAAAATATCTACGTTGTTAAATTCATTACCGACATAACATCCAATTTTAAAAAAATAACGCCCAACACACATGCAGATAACGGCAACCATTTTTGCCCTTCCCTCCTCTTACATACACACCAATAAATATATATTGAGAGAAGAGTACATGGGACAGAGAAGTTTGCCAGTCTCATTGTCCCTTTGCCCTTCCTGGAAACACAGGGACATGATCTATGCGTGCATGTCACTATTTCCTACCTTGCTCTCCTCGCCCACTACTCCTCCGCCTCAGAGCTGCCGGATTCATCCACCTCCGGCTCGGTGGCATCGCTCTCCTCCGGTTCACTGTTTTCGCTCTCCGCCACCTTATTGACGGGTTGAACCTCCTTGCAGCGGTACTTCATAACCTCTAGTGCCGCCGGACGGTAGTAGTTGGCCCCAGAGCACGCAATACCAAGAGCGGGCATGGCTGAATCCTTGTATTTTTTGGTTTTACCCTTTTTTTTCCCTTTTTTTTGTGTTTTTTTTTTTTTGTGTGTGTGCCTTTAACGTCCTTTTTCTGGAAGTTCCACACACACGCACCCAATCCCTTATTTTGTCTGCCTATATTTCTGGTTTACTCACCCTCGGAGAGCGTAGACCCTTTCTTTCCCTCTCTCTCTCTTCCTCCCTACCTCCGAGAAGCAAAAAAGCGACAAGAACGTCGGAGAGAAGTGTCGCAAAAATCGTTTCGCTCCCCATTATTGCCATTTCCCCTCCTCTCTCTCTCTTATATCTCTCTACACACGCACACCGGGCGCAAATGCAAACAAATGCCCAAAAACGTCATCACTCCAGACAGCGTTTATTTACGGGAAAATATACAAAAGCCTCTCAAACGGGATCACTGGTTGCCGAGCGGCGAGTTCTGCTGCAGAGGAAAGGAAGTCTAAACTCATCTCCATCGCACCCTGCGCCTCACGAACGCGGCCCATGCCCTCGTACGCAGCAGTATGGGTGGAGGTAGAGTCGATGGCCAATTGGAAGTAGTGTGACGCCTCAACCAAATGCGTGGTGCGGAGAGACTGCGGCTGGTTTGCCTTGAGGGCTTCAAGAAGATAAAGGCGGCCCAGCTGGACATACGAATCCGCATGTGCCGTGCATACTTCAAGGGCCGTAAATAACAAGGAATGCAGCGACCTTACCTCTTGTTCATCAAGCAGAGTTCCCTGCTCCCGAATGAGCTGCTCGTCCTCAAACTCCCTCAGAACTGAAACGACGTCCCCGACACCAGCCGTCATGTGACGCTGACGAACCGTCTCCACAATTTTCTCCATTCGATCAATCTTTATTCTCACGGAACAGCAAATGAGGTCGGCATAGGCCTTGCGGTGCTCCTCCCTCGCCTCCCCCACAAACTCTAATCCCGCCCTAACCGCAATCTCTGCGATGGAGGTGCAGCCAACCTCCACCGCAACATACGCCAAAAGAGCCCAGTGACCCGCCACACGAGACGCCCCGCGGAAGCGACTGCTCCAGCATCCGTCCGCAATAACTGTCGTGCCAATATCCGGTACGAGGCGAAATTCATCAGAGTCCGCTCGCTCTGATGTGTACTGGGTCGTCGCTTGAACACGTGCCACAAGGATTGCCAGCAATTCCTCGCAACCCACACGTTTATGAAGATGAACGTCATTCGTCACATACCGCATCATTGTTAAAACAATTCCCCCTAAGATGTACTGCGGGTGCACATGCTCTGTATGATTTGCCACTTCCAGGGCCTTATCATACTCTCCGGTAGCGGAGAATAAAAGAGAAAGAAGCACCAATGCGTTTGCATCCGCGCGGTTTTGACCCACCAACCTCTGTGCCAACGTCAAAGCACTTTGTATCTCACCGAGAAGAGCCATGAGCCACGCAAGTTTGACAAGCTGAACAAAATCCGTAGGAAGTGCGTTAGCTTCTCGTGCAATAATCTCCAGTGTACCTCTCACCAGTTTCCCTGCCATTGTCTCCAGTGTGCTCCGACCCTCTCTCTCTTGCACCACAGAACCAAGATAATAACATGCCCACGCAAGGTGGGTGGTGGTTAGGGCGCAACGGTGTGCATCAACCGCCATTTCCGCTAGACGTACACCGGCACGTAGGGAAGATACGGTTCCCCTTTTTATTCCAAGATGAGAAGCCAACATGAAAAAACGTGCTGCCAACTGTCGTTGTGGAGTGGAAATGGAAGAAACCGTTGAGCTAGCTTCTGTAGAAACCGCATCCGATGTTTCACATGTCCTGTGGCTGTCGTCGTCATCGCCTTCATACCATTTACCGCGAGGAAGAGGGCTGGATTGACCATTGAGCGGCTTTTCATCCATCAGAGCCTTTGCGGTGTCCTCCAGCATCTGCAGCAGCCGCTTTAAGGGAACGTGTCGGTTCTGTAAGCAAAACATCGACACTTCCATCCACTGCTGTGCGGAAACGGGGGGTGCGAAGCTGAATGTCTCGGAGTTGCTCTCCAGGTGACGTGGGACCGTCTCCACAGCCCTCAGCGCCGCAGTCCCAGGCACCCCCCCGTGACGCTCGCCCGGCTCGGCCATTGACGAACAATTTTATTTTCCCCCCTCTTCGCCTGCACAGTACAAATGAATGTAAACACGGTAACAGTAGAATTGTTGCCTCTGTGTACCGCGTTGTTGGCTTCCTGCGCCGCAATGGGTCCCCCCCCCCCCCTCGCACGGAACTCGCCTCCTCAAAATCCCCCGAAAACAGAAACACCAAAAAAACACGCAAAACACACCTCGTTCCTACAAAAACAGTTAAGCACTTTCCATACACGACACGTTGAGACAGGTCAAATACTAATATAAAAAAAGAGTTGCAGAGAGCACTCATACAAACACTCATCCGAGCAAAGCAATAAGTGACAAACCAACAAGAAAAAAAAAAAAAAAGGAAGAAGGAAACAAGAACAATACACAAAAGATTCAAGGCCGCCTTACGTTATCATTTCTCCTTTTTGATGTGGTCACACCCACCGTCTATGGTTTTCACTGACATCAAAGTCCTCCGGTAGCAGTTCGTCCGCCTGGCAAATGAGTGTTCCTTGTTGCAGCGACACAATATTCAGACGATCATCCAGCACACCACTTACAAGTGTGTGATCTTTCAACACAGCACCGTTAAGTCCCTCCGACGCTGCTATCGCCTCCTCCACAGAGGCCATGCGCAGCAGCGCCGTGCCCGTGAAGGAGCCGCTTCGATCATCAATGGCAATGCGCACGTCTTCCACGCGCCCATACTCTGAAAAGGAAACACGCAGCTGATCCACTGTAAGCCAGTATGGCAGACCATCCACCACGACGTCTGGCACAAATGTGTGAAGAGGCAACGCGTTCGCGTCATCCTTTTCATCTTCTGCCTTGGTGACGGTGTCAAGATGCGTGGGAACTCGGACAACCTCCACAGGCACATCTTGCAGCACACGGTCCAAATCGGCCAGGGTATATGTGTCACATGCGGGGTCGTGAAACGCTATAAAAGCCAGCTCGGGGTAGTACGCATTGCGTACGGCCTTAAGGGAATTGTCTGTCGAATCAACAGAAACAATAAAATCCTGCACAACGGCGGCTTTAGTTTCCGTGTGACCAGAATCTGTCATGGCCTGCTGTTGTTTTTGCTGTAACAAAGTACACGATACCTGTCCGTACCGACCAAAATATCGATTCATTGTTTCTTCATTCTGTGCAGACTCGGAGACCATGCGAACAAACAGATGAGTCGTCTTCTTCGCGGAAGTCGTAGTCGCGGCAGCTAACGGTGGTCGAACATGAAACAAGAAATCCGTTGCCGATGGTTTTTCATCACTTTTAGCGGTTTTTGATTTTGGCAATGATTTCCTTTTTTCATCCATGCTCACCACAACATCTTCTTCCTCTTCTCTCTCTACCGCTGCATCCGTAGTTGGCGAGGTGGCGCAGCCCGGTGAGAAGTTTTCACCCACCACCTCCCTGGGCCTTTTTCTGGCACCGGGGGAGAGAATTGACTGCTCTCGGCAAATGGGATGAGGCGGTAAGGCCGCAAATTCAGGAAACGACAAAAAGGAGAGAATGTGGACACGCACCTCTGGTGGGCACAAAGATCCAAAGCGACGTTGTAGAGACAACAGGAGCATTCTTGCGTGTTGTTTGGCAGCAGGGCTTACGCAAGAGAAGAACAGCGGAAGCAGGAAAGAGTTTTCCAAGTAGGCACTATGAAGGTGCGGAACCAGGTGGAGAAGACGCGCCAAATGGTGGTGGTGCAGATCGCGTGTGATGGCATCCATTTGGCGTTTCTTGCTCTTCCTGCTGGCACTCAACTAAGTTCTTGTGTCCGCTTTTTCAACACCCGCTCCTTCTCCTCCTGGCACCCCTTTTGCGGTCCTGAAAAGCAAAAAAGTAAAGAGGCAGCAGAAAATAGATAAATGAAATACAAATAGGCATAAAAGAATATGCAGACATACATGTCAGGTGGGGGTTAGGGGACAAAACGCCATAGTAACACCCCATTGCCATTATCTTACTTCCTCTTCTCCTTGTTGTTGTTCCACTGACGTCAAATTATTCGTCGTTTACCCCATTTCTCCTCAAATCCAATTCATTTACTGAGGAAGGTTGCTGGACTTGAGTATCGCCGAGCGCAGTGCTGCACCATGCGACGCAACCATGTCAATCGCGTCAGTCAAATGGGGCAAAAGAAGTGGAAACCGCCCGTGATGCAAAAAAGAGACAATTCCGTCCGTCTCATCGATTACGACCGTGAGAAGAACATCCGCCACGCTCTCCTCCGCCGCGTTGGTGTCCAGCAGGAACTGCATACTGCCTGCGGTGCCACACAGGCCAATGGTGGCGGCCACTGGAATCCTGTGAAAGCACAGACACCTGCTTTCCACCACATCCCCACTGGGAAGGCGTGCTTTAGGAAGCGTCAAATTATGCAGAGCTGCAACAGCCGCGTGAAGAGTAGCAGCCCGGAGGCCACCATCAGCATTCATCACAATCAGTTCCACACGCAGTACCCAGCAAGCCTCTCCGCTAATCACACAAAGCTCGGTGAGATCCAGGCAAGAGATGATGGTTGAACGAACGAAGCGAGCCAATTCATGCAGCGTCCCTTCAATCTGGAATGCGCTGTAACCCGGGAAAAACGGAGCCGTAACTTCCACCGTGAGACGACCCTCCTCAGGGTGTTGTGGCGGCGGTGGGCCAAACACACCAGTGACGATACAGTTCACACATGTTCCTGTGTCGTCTGTGTATAGCGTAGACGCCAGAACGCGATTTATTTTCGTATCCTGTCGGTTTTCGTAAAGAATATGCGGAACTCGGATAGAGTCAAATGGGCGCCCGTCTAATCGTTTACTTTGAGTAAGGAGGCGAATGACATGTTGCTTGAAGGAACCGAGCTCCACAGCACCCGTAGCGGGCGGAAGTGACATGCCAAGGGCCCAACTTTCCCGTGTTGAATGATAGGCATGCCATCGGTGTTGTTCATAAGTATTTTATCGGAGTTCGTCAAAAAAAAAGGAGGTAAAAAAAAAAAAGAGAAAATGTAAGAAGCAACACAGATGTCCGCTCGTGACTGTTTTCATCTCTCGTCTCGTTTCTTTTTTTGTTTGTTTTTGTTTTTCATTTTTTGCCTCTTTTCACCTTCTCCCTCCATCGTTTCTTTGCCAACCGCACTCCTTCCTTGCCCAATTCCCATCAACAACAACGTTTTGGGTTCCGTGTCAGAGCATTCTTCTCTGCAGCGCACTTTTCTTTTTCCTTTCAATTGGGGGTAGAGAGAAAGCGTTTCATCTCTCTTGCCTGCTGTTTTCCTTCCTTCTTTTTTTTTCTTTTTTTTCTTCCAACCATTGCAGCAAATATGATGATGTGGAAAACACAACACAACAAAAACGAGCTTATCCGTCTTGAACTTACATACCAGTTACTGCTACCAAAGGATTTCATACGGTTCTGTAAACGTACATGCGAAAAAAAAAAAAGAAAAAAAAAAAAAACAAGAGGACGGGAATAAATGACATATAGGAGCCCTTGAAAGAGAATAAAAAAAAAAGAAAATTTTCTTTCTTTTTTTTTTTTTATTCTCTTTACGACTGCAATTTGGTTCCACACTCCGCACAGAATCGCTGTTTTCCAGCGATAAGCTTCGCACCGCACTCAAAACAGAAACGCATTTTTGTGCCTTCAGTGGATCCATTTCCCGCCTCAGTCTCCTTCTTCCGTTGCGGGTGGGAGGGAACACTTTTTTCGGCGACATCGCCGGGAGTGGGGGGTGCTGCGGGTGGTATTTCCTCCATGAGGACTTGTTTTTTGAGGCCAGAGCCCGTGTGTGCCTCCCAAGGCCTATCGCGTTCATTTCTCCTCTTCTCTTCATGGGCCGCAGGAGCCGTCTCTGGGTGGTGGCCCGCGGAGGCCGAATTTCGGTGATTCGATTTATTGCGCTCCAAGCATACTTCTTCATGCTTCGCTAGGCGGTTGGCGTTGAATGTTCGGTTGCAAAAGCGGCACCTTGGAAGTTCCTCCTTTTTATGCACCCCCGCATGCACGCGAGAGGCAACATTCTTGAAGCGAGAGACATTGTTCAACGGTATTTTTACAGCATGCCTCTCTGGGGGAGTGGTGTCATCCAATGCTTGGAAATCATCAAAGGGTGGGCTGGCGGCAGGAGCGGAAGCAATATGAGCAGCGGTGGCAGCAGGTACAGCGGGAGCATCGTCACGACCATCATCATCGATTGCAGATGCATCTTCTTCCACGGGAAGACTCTCAGATTTTCTTTCATCCTTCGACTCTGATGACGCAGCACAATGCTTATTGGTGTCGTTGACTTCTTTTTGGGTGTCGTTCTTTTCCTCACCCACATCTACGGCGGTTCTCGGCGCCGCCTCTTCATGCACAACCAATTTTTTTGCGGTCCTTTCGGCCAGGCTTCGAGAAACTGAGCGCGTGGCAACAGATGCCGATGAGGCTGCAGAAGCAGCGCCATCATAAGCAGCCTCAGCAACAACAACACCATCCCCATCATCACGATCACACGTGACTCCTTGAGTGGAAATGGTTGGATTCGCACATTGTGGTATTGCTTCCGGTGAGTCTTTCTCCAAGGGCTCAGAATCCTCTGCATTGCCCCATGCGGCTCTCTTAATTTGAGTAGAGAAGACAACTTCTCGTGCACCTTTTGTCCGGGCAGCACTGGACGCCGGGGGTGTTGAGGGCTCTTTCTCCAACGGTATAGGCTGACGTGACTTTTTGCTAGGAAATGCGCCAGCAGACGCACTCTGTGCCCTTACTAGGCCCTTGTCGCCTGCAGTTTTGCCAGCGAGTGAGCGGGCCACTGGCCTCGAAGCACTCGCCGCGCCTGGTTTGCAACTACGCAGATGAACCTCCAATCGGTCTGGAAGGAATGTCCGCCCGCAGTTCTCACACTTTACGAGCATGTTCGCATTAAAGTCTTGAATCTGCACCTCATTAAACCGATCGATTTCACTGCCCTTCAATTTTCCACTCCCACCCCTACCTCCTGCTGTCCCACCAAGAGCAACCCTCTCTTTCATCTCCTTTTCATGCGTCTCCGGGTCCACCGGCCTCGGCCCTCGCCTTGCCGGATCCATGCGCTCCCACTCAATGAGCTTCTTGAGGTGACACTGCGGTTGATGGATGCGCAAACTGGCGGAGCCAAAC